CGGAAATCCGATCGACGATTGTTGGCGGTGCGACCCAAATTGGGAGACAAACCGCCAACGGCTAGCCGATTGTGCCATCGGGTTTGGCAAAAACGCTATTGGAGGCCGTGATGGCCGAATCTATGTGGTTACAGATCCGGCTAACGACGACCCCGTAAACCCTAGACCCGGAACTCTAAGACATGCGGTCACACAAGAGGAACCACTGTGGATCATTTTCAAGAGAGACATGGTCATTAGGCTAGAGAAAGAACTCATCATCACATCCTTCAAGACCATTGATGGTAGAGGCTCAAGTGTTCACATAACCAATGGACCATGCATAAAGATCCACTATGCAACTAATATAATCATCCATGGTATTAACATCCATGACTGCAAACCAGGATCAGGTAAGAAATTTAAAGACCAAATTTTTTGGTTGATGTTTATGAAAATAGAGCCAAAACGTTTTTTATATTAAAAACATAAACATGCTAATATATTTGATGTTAATATGTAGGTGGCATGATTAGAGACGGTCCACGTCACACCGGGTGGTGGATCCCGTCGGATGGGGATGCGGTGGCTATATTTGGAGGGAAACACGTGTGGATTGACCATTGCTCATTATCGAACTGCGATGATGGGCTTATAGACGCTATACATGGTTCGACGGCTATAACCATATCGAACAACCACATGACTCACCATGATAAGGTCATGCTTTTAGGGCATAGCGATAGTTACACGGAAGACAAGAACATGCAAGTCACCATTGCGTTTAACCATTTCGGGGAAGGGCTCGTTCAAAGGATGCCACGGTAAGAAAACTACTCTTTAACCCCTAATCGCGCGCACAAATACTTTACTTTTTGGGTAAACATATATGGATAGTTAGATGCGTATATATTGGCTTGCATGCAAAGTGAAGCACGCGCATAAAGAGTTTGCATGTGAAAGTTAGACTTTATTGCGTATGCAAGAAGTCAACAAAAGCAGATCAATAGGACTTTTTAAACCACGACCGATCTATCACATCGCTAGCCTATATAGAAGACTACTTTCATTAAATGAGATATGAATTGAATTGAATGATATACCAGAAAAGCAAGTGTCGGCCATTTCGTTATGTACAGTATTGATTTAGAGAGAAATATTATACTGGTTTATGTCAATGCAAAGTTGAGTGTGTAAACATCATCTACGCTAAGAAAATCTGTTGAGTGTGTAAACACTAGTACATTCGTACATTGGATCTAGGGAGATGCGTGGATGAAAACTTATCTAGTATTAGTATGAAAGAATTTGAGAAATTTTTAAAAAATGGTGAGGAATTCATTGGACCATTCTTTCACTGTTAAACCATAAAAAAATGGAATGACAAAGTTAATAAACGTTTAGTGTAAATTGTTACTAAAATTTTGGCTTTGGTTATGATAAACAGGTGCAGGCATGGATATTTCCATGTGGTGAACAATGATTATACTCATTGGGAAATGTATGCAATTGGTGGAAGTGCTTCTCCGACGATATACAGCCAAGGCAATAGATTTCTCGCTCCTAACACTCGTTTTAATAAAGAGGTATACATTGTTGTGAATGTGGACATGCACATATATAGATTTATTTTTCACAAATATTTAATCTTGTTATTAATTGAAAAAATTGAAAAATGTGACATTATACATTTACAAGTGTTTATTTATATGTTTTTTCTACATATATATAGGTTACGAAACATGAAGATGCACCGGAAAGCGAATGGAGAGATTGGAATTGGAGATCGGAAGGCGATGTGTTGTTGAACGGAGCTTATTTCCGGCAGTCCGGTGCCGGAGCTGGGTCCACTTATGCAAGAGCTTCGAGCCTAAGTGCGAGGCCATCGTCGCTTGTGGGTCCCATCACAACTACTGCCGGCACTCTTAGTTGCCGGCGAGGTCGTCGCTGTTAATTTAATCAATATGACGATGATGATGAAATCATTAAGAGACAGAACAAGATTAATGAATCGTTGTTTATGCAATGGTTCGTATGATTAACGAATGGTAAGAGGTTTTGTTTTAAAAGCTTTTTAATGTAATGTTGTAAGTGTAATGCGTCTGCTATGTCTTTAGACATTTGCTAGAGATGATGATTTTAAAATTTTATATCAATATAATGTTTAAGCTACTCAACCATTTCAACTTTATTTTGTGACATATTTCATTAATTAATGTTTACACAAGTTATTTGACTAGCTGTATCGTAAAGACGCAAATCCATTAGATTTCACGTGGTGGTTAACTTAGCGTATCCCTTGAAGTTGTAAGTAACATATGTTAATTGTCATCCACAGGGGACACGTAAAATTTTGAGAAATTTAAAAAAATGCCATTTTTCAAATGCATTTTTACAAAAATGCCACACTTTTGAAATCTTTACAAAAATACTATTTTTTCAAAAAAAAATTTTCTTTATATCATTTATGTTTGGGTTAATTATGTTCTATTAGGGTTTAGTTATGAGGGTTTAGGGGGTTTTAAGAGTCAAAACATTTTTTAAGGTTTAAATTTTTAAGATATATGTTTTATAAAATCTATAATTAGTGGTATTTTTGCAAATGAGCACCTCTAAGTAACATTTTTGGAAATATGCACACAAAAAATGATATTTTTGTAATTATCCGTAAAATTTTCCGTTCTTAATTGAGTTAATTCCATGGTATAAATCATAGAGTCTAATATATTAACATAGGTAGGCTTTGTTGCCAGTACTAAAATGAACATATTAGAGCCATCATTTTAAATGATCGTGTTAAGTTTTTCATATATGAAATCATAAAAGATCTAGGAAAATATATAAAACATATAAAACTAATTCAGTTATTATCAGTTAGTTTTGATGAATTGAAAAACCATGAAATTAAACTTGAATATAAAAATATATCCCATCTTATCGCAAAGTGGAATCCGTTTGTATTTGAGGAAGAAAACTCATTACTATGAACTATCACATGAATCCATTAACAAATAACGGGAAAGTTTTGCCTAAAAATATTTTCTTCAGCCAATCACGGAGAGGGAAATTGTATTTGAGTATAAAATAAATGGAAGTTACGCCATAAAGTTGTCGGCCACACGTGTGAAATCAAATGTCAAACAGCATGTTACTTCACCTCCAATTTTCTCGGACAGTAAACATTCTACTTGTCCTGCTGACAATTATGATCTTTGTTAGTCTACAATATTTTTTTTTTTTTAAATGGCAATGTTTTCCATGATCTCATTTCTCACTCAATGTATATTTTGTTATTATTTAAACAATCTCGCATTTATCTCGTTTTATACTACACTATTACTATCCATACTA